CCCAGATCCACACTCAGATCCACACTCAGATCCACACTTACCCACACTCAGATCCACACTCACCCACACCCACACCCACACCCACACCCACACTCACACCCACACCCATACCCACCTCACCCACACTCACATTCACATTTACCCCCATTCATCCCAACACCCACATCCAGCTTTCTTGATAAATCTATTCGACGAAAATCGATTTGGTGAAGCTCATTTTCGGCGAATTTCTGTCGACGAAGGTAGACCAAATAATTTCATCATCTTGACTCATGTCACACCAATAAAAAAATGAGTTGGAAATTTTGAGCTGTGCAATTTTCTTTGTACTCAAAACTTTTTGTTAAAAATAACTACTAGAGGCAATGTTTTTATTTGTCGTTAAAAAGGAAGTAGCATGATTTGTTTGCTCTCATTTTCTTTTGTTTTTTCAATCATCAAATATATAATTCAGTAAAGTTGGGATTTTTAAGTAATGTTTTTTTCTCGTCACAGACACACCTGAAATTTCAGTCGATGACTATACATACTAAAAGAAAGTGCATTTCATGATTTTAACAAAAAAAAAATAAGAAAAGAATTGTTTTACATAGTAACTATACAGTTAGTCGCCTCTCATTTGATTATTTCACAACGCTTATATAACAAACGGAACGAAACGTAATAAAAGAAGAATTATCTTTACTTAACAACTCATACTATTGTATCTCGCAATGGCAAAAACTATGAGTTCAAGCTTGATATTAATATTCTATGTGCTACTCTTAGTGTAAGTATCGATTATCAAGTTCAACATGTTATATACTATTTTTCTTTGTCTTCTTCTCCGATAGAAACACATCAGAACAACAACAACAAAGTAATTAATAATAATGACTCTGATTTTTCTTTATTTTCTTATTATCTATTTCTTAGTTAACTCAACAACAACAGCAACATGTAATTATACTGCATGCAATTCTCAACGAATAGCATGTTCATCAAATCTTGATTGCGATTGTTTTTCATTAACATCCAACTCGAATATAGGAGTATGCGCTTCAACTATATTCTCCTATGCAAGTGTCGTACGATGTAATATGGATAATGTAACTTGTTCAATCGACAGTACAATCTGTGTGAATAGTACACGATGTGGTCAACCAATATGCTATCCATTAGCTATGGCAAATAAACAAATTTGTCCACCAAAAACTGTCACAAGTAAAAACGATTTCTAATAATTATTTTAGTTTTATTTATTTTTTCTTCTTAAAACAGCTACAACTACAACATTACGAACAACAACTACAGGTAAGGCATATTCTCTTACAATTTTGTAACTGATTAGTGCAAAAGTAATTAGTTGATATAGAATAAATAATTTCTGTCTTTTAATAGTACATACAACAAGCACAACTAAATCTACAGCAAAGGGTAAATGTGATTTCATTATATTTTCTGTTTAAAATGTGTTTATTTTGTGGCTAACTTATTTCTTTTGATTCAGTTACAACAACAACTCAAAAGAGTACGACTACCACTAAAAAATTGACAGCAACAACTACTCAAAAGCCTACAACTACCACTAAAATATCGACAACATCAACAGGTAAAGTATGCAGCATCCAGGCCTCAAAACTGGGCCATGTTTTGCTGGCCCGGCCCGGCCCACATCGGGCTTCGAATATTGTAAGCCCGCCCGACCCAGCTTGAAGATGTGGATTGGAAACCAAATTGAGTATAACACCCACACTCTAGCAACAGCAATAAAATAGACTTCTACTTTCAGAAGGAAACCTTATCCATATCTATTTCATTCTTTTAAATGTATAGTGAGTTCTATTTCGTATGAAATTGAATTCCATGGAATGAGATTTATTACATGCATAATAAATTTAGATCTATATGAGTGCTCATCCGTAAATTTTTCAAATAGTTTTCTCTATTAACCACCTTAACGGTGGGTGATGATAAATACTCTTTTGACTACACCCACACATCTCATTTATGTTGCCTTGATCGATGAGATGATCGAGTGAACTGTATAATCAGACATTAAGTACTGTCTTTATCTTTAGATTAATCTTTTATTCCATATCTGAAATATTTGTACATGCTTATTTTTTCTATGAGTGTTCATTACATAAGAAGATATGAATAGGAAATTGATGAAAAATGATTGTTGTGCTATTTAATTTAAGTAAAACATTTGATAAGATATAAAGCATCAGTGAGAATAGAGTTGCGAATAACTAAACAATGGAATTTGTGTGAACTAATAAAGAACTAACAATGATTTGATCGAGAGTTATCAGAAACTTCAAGATTAATCACTCATTTTTTTACTCGTTTATGTTTTATATCAGTTCTAACCATGGATGCTATATAGGACTTTTCATATCTATATATTGATCATAATAAAAATAAATGTTTTGAATAATTCACTGCATTAATTATCATATTGATAGAACCATAAAAGAGTTGATGTAAAGTTCATACGTCTCAGTCTATTGAATATCCTTATAGCATAGCTTGTAAAACTTGTAGAGAATCGAAAAACACATCGGTCAGTGTAATTAGCACAATGATTAATTTAAGACAAACCTCTTTTATATGTTTGATTGAGATAAAAGATGAAATAGAAAATATAAAAAAACTGAAGCTGCCATAATGGTATGTGAAGAGGATTTGTGTAATACATTTAACTACTATTCTCAGTCTACATAGGTTTAAGGTGATATGAAACAGACATATCAAAGAGTGTCGTTTTTAGAATAATGAAAAATACTGTGTGAAGATGTAATGAATATTGAGTGTTTGATGATCTAATGTTGTAGTCTAAATATACAAAAATGTAACTTCTAGAATGGTTTTCTACTGGTTATATGACTAATGCACGATATTTTCACACAGCATCTGTATTATCAAATGGAAAAGTATTAG